ACTGAAAACCATAGATCTAAGTGAAACTTTAGTTACTAGTTTGTGTGGCAAGAATTGCTGTAGAATTGGAGTTCCACACTCTGTTGGTTTAAGTGGGAGATGCTGAGCATTGGTCACTAGAAGTTACACAATAGGGAAGATAGTTGTATTATATGAGTAACTTGAAAATTCAGAAGCTCTGATTCCACTTGCAGCACCTAACATATACAGATTAACAAAATTATTTTATTGCTTTCTTGTGGATGTAGATCTGTATGGATAAATAGCCTGTGTAAAAGTCTATAGAGTAAATCAAATTTGCATTCCTTGCCTTTATCTGGTTTTTATGTCCCTAAATACTTCAGGACATGCTTTGTGTCTGTGTAGGAGTTGTAGATCACTGCAGTGGGTTTCCTGGAGTCACTGGTGCTGCTTGCAGTTGCAGAAAATGATCTCAGAAGTGCTGCTAAAGCAATCCCTCAGCAGAAGATAGGAGGCACATTGACCTGAGTACGAGATGGCCATGAATAACAGCTTTCACTAGAAGCAAACAAAAATTGGTAGAGGGAGACCATCCAGCTCTGCATGGCCTTCATGCTGGCTCGTACCTGCCTTCCTGGTCCTCTGGGACAGCAGTGGCAAGAGGAGTGTGAAGCAGTGGCACAGCAAAGGACTGCAAAACCAGTCAAGAAGCCAGGCTTTATGTACCAACATCTGTTCCAATTTCTGGTGCCTTATCTGTGCTTACAATGCTCTGCGTAGCATTGAGTTTTTTGCCAAGTGTATACATTACAATTAATTATCACTCTATCAGTATCACCTCTTAAATTAATTTTGCTGGTTTTCATGATTGCAACACTGAATGATTTATATTTCCCCTTTACTCCTCACTAATTGCATAACCCCTCATTACTGAATTCATTTGTCTTCATCTGTCCATGTGTTTTTCCTGTTTCTTTGGTACATATGCTGTAACTTTGTGGCCCTCAAACAACAACAGAAATACTTAGTCTGAAGAAATAACTGGTGCTGAAAGTCTGCCCGTAAGTGTCATGGTCTTCTCTTTCCCCTAACACTTCTCTCCCATCCCAGTGAAGCCTGTGGATCGTTTGATAGTTGAGCAGTGTTTGGGGGCAGAAATGTTACAGCTGGCACTTTTAAAGTAAATTTACTAAAAATCACCAATTATATAAGGGTATATCTATCAATTTGAGTAGCATATCATGTTTAAAACAGTAAGAACATGATACACAAGTTGCATGATGGAGTCTTTTACCTTTCCTCAAAAGCTCAATGAAGATAAAAATAAAAATGCTCTGAAAAGAGTAACTTTCTAAATCTAATTTTGACGTGGTGTGAATGACCAGGAACTTCATGTAAAACTTAATCTGTATGTAATTATGAACAAAAAATGGGTAAGGTCAGCCAGATAAATTATACAATGCTGACCTTGTTTGTAAAATTACTTTGCTAAGGAGATGACAAATAATTTTAATCTTCATGTAATAATCAAAATTCAGCTTTTGTGTTAACAGTAGGAATGCTAAACGTTTATTTTCCCAGAGGTACTTAAAAAAAGTTTGACATACTTATAAAAATAAGATGAGATCAAGTTATAGAAATCTAAGCCAGGATTTTGTCATGGTTTTATTTTTGCCTTCAGACTTGAAGTACTTCTCATAAAGGATATATTTTAAAGCATGAACTGAAAGCTTAGAGTTCACATTGCTCTGCTTCGAGCTGGAAGAGGCTTGTACACTCCCATACATTTTTTTTAAGTATAGGAAGCACATAACTTTTTTTTTTATTAAAAATCAGTTTTTTAAGGAAGAAAAAATGAAAAGACATTCTTCAAGCAACACAAATTCAGCTTCCATTACATGCACCTTTTAGGAAAAATAGTCTTAATGTACTCTTTAGAGCTTGTAGAAAACTTTGCTTATCTTATGGAATGATTAAAAATTGCTCTGTATTTGTTTCTAAATAGCTCTTCTTTTTTGGTAATTCCTTTCTCTTTCCGACTCCCAGATTGACATAAATTTATTACTTGAATGCGTAATGGAATAACATTCTTTCTAGGGTGAAATGCTGTACTTCTGCCTCCTCAATAAGTAGCAGTAATGCTATGTATAAATAGTTACAAATAGTTGTAGTTTTGCACTTTTAGCAATGTTGTTGTTGAAACAAGGATAAAAGTAGTACTAATATTTAAAAGGCTTATTTCACTATGCTGTGCGTGCTAAAGAACATGCAAAATACAGTTCTCTCTCCTGGTTTAATATATCTCTTTTTAGTTGGGCCTTCAGTGAAATGTGATTTTTCTTTTTTAGCTGGCTAGTATCTGAGCTACACTAATTTTTACCATACTATTTAAGCTCATATACTGATGAAACTTCAATATCTCCTACCCTCTAAGGATTTAGAAAATACAAAGGTAACTTTCCCGTTTTCCCAATTGTTTATCCCTTTGTAATGACTTTTTTAATTAAGGTACAGAAGAGATATGTGTGAGTTTTTTTCTTTCCTAGTGTATGATTTCTCTTCTCTCTTTCTCTTGGGTTTAGGTTTTTTTGTTTGCTTTTTTGTTTGGGTGTGTTGTTGTGTTGTTTTTTTTTTCTTTAAATATTGCATCAGGAGGCAAGGTAGTGCTGATTGGAAAGATCAGGCCGACCACACAGTGAGGTTTAATGTCACTTGAGTGCGTTATATACGGAAATGACTGCATGTTGGTTTTGCTTTGTCATCACTCTTTGGGACACTGGTGTGTGATTAAGCTTTTTCCACAGGCTGCTGGCACTTCTGGCCCCTCCTCATTATCCTAGTCAGGGACTGCAGCCCGGGGAAAGAAAAATGCAATGCACAGATCAAAGGCAGAGGGAAGGGGGAAAGGACAGAGCGTTCTTGCCACAGCCAGGTAGTTGTAGCTCCATAAGAGCAGAGCTGTGCTCCTGGAGAGGAGAAGGAAGATGTGCTGTGTTCCAGGTATGAACACGAGGCTGAAAAGATTCTGGAGGCAGTGGTGCAAAATCAAGTGATTTTTTTTCATGATTATTATTTTCCCTTCCTCCTTTTTCATTGGACAAATAACAAGGTGTAGAACTAATTAAAAGCAGCTGCATCACATGAAAGCAGTTTCTCAGAGAAGGGAAGGCTCAGGTGACATCTGAAGAATTCCAATCTCAGAGGAAGGGCATAGATTGTGATGTGAGGGAGCCGTTCTTGAGCCATCTCTGGTGTGGCTGCTCTAAGACCTGACGTTCTTCAGGTCACCATTTGGGAAGAATTTCAGGACACACCCCCACCCTTTTTTTTTTTTTCTTCTTTTTTTTAATGGATTGAGTCCACCTGTATCTCAGCCTTGTCTCAAGGCTGACGTGACCTAACAGAAGTTTGTAAACTTAGCTGTGAAGTAAGACCTCATTATATAGTCTTTGTGCTTGGTTTTATTACATAAGCAAATGAAAACCATACGGATAAGCCTATAGAAATGATTAAAAGGCACCTAACATCCTGTGATCTGAAAATGAGGAGACGAAGTATTATTACTATTTATTAGAACAGTGGCTAGGTAAGCGGGGTGGTGAGCAGAGGACTGGATTTACTTGGAGTAGGCAATTGGGTGTGACGAACACAGAAACCAATGGTATGTTTGTACACTTTCTGCCAAAGTCTAATCAACTGGAGTGAGAAAACCTTCCAGTACAAGACAGGAAACTTAGTATTAAAGGAATATGTAGAATGATAATCCACAGGAATGGGAGTGAAGCATATGCACATTAGAAAAGGAAAAAAAAAACAAAAATCAGTCGGTACGGAAGCATTCAGTATTTGGAACCATCTACTGAAAAATAAAATAACCCTAGACATTTTTTTTAAAGAAATTGCTTTGAAGAAAAATTGGAGAAAGATTATTTTTATATATTAAAAGTCTATAGTAGTCTTAGGCTCATAATTGAGAATGGATAAAGACCTCTCCTTTTACAAGTGAGAAATATTGAGCACTGGCAAGACTAACAAAATTGTTTTTGCCAGAGATTAGCTTCCCAGTTGCAGCCTGGAAGTCACCAACTACTAATAATGATTAGAAGGTAGCCAATACATTTCTTAGCAGTCTCTACATTAACCAAGCACAGACTTGGTGAACCACTAATGATGTTCTAGGAGAGTTGAAAATTATTGTATTTTTCACGTGTAACTCATGGATTACCTGTTTAAAAAGCAAGAGAGGGGGCACTGGAAGTTACATAAAATGCAGCTTATCCCCACCCACTTTTAATTTTGTGCATTTTATGTTAAAACTTATTTACATTAAATAGCAATGACAAGCTTTATGGATGGATGGATTCAAGTTGGTGCACAGTCAGATGCGGAAAAATATGTCTCTAATCTAGGTTTGTAACTTCAAAAGTGCAGTGTCTTAGTTTTGCTAAGAAATTGCTAAGGAATTGAAGAGCTTTGAGATTTACTTATGGGAGAAATCACTGATATGATCAACCAGAACTTTCAAAATGCATGCCTGAAACAGGAGGATTAAATGAGAACTTGTAGGGAAAGACACTAAACTTTGCTGAATGAAGCAAGTGAGGTAAAAAGGAAACCAGGACTAAATCAGAACTTAAAAGAAATGGAGGGAAAAGTGCTAGTCAGCAGAGGTAGGCAGATGTATCTTAGGGCTCAGATAGTGTTAGCAATTCTTTTTTTTTTTTATTTTAAGAATAGATTTAGCAAAAGGATACTGAAGTGAACTAGAAAATATTTATGCAAATATATGGATATTTATATCCATAAATACATTTACAGTGAAGTCTCTGTAACACTGGGCTTTGACTGGTGGAACTTTCATTATCATTGAAGCCAGTAAAAATTCTTGCTTTGTCTTCAGAAACTTAACTTAATTTAGATCTTGTAACTGGAAACAGCAAAAGCATCAATTATCTCTAATGTCATGTGTTTATGTATCTGAAAAAAATGCATTCAAATGCCTAATGTGATCTTTCTTTCTCCTCCTCCCCCTGTTCTAGGAATTGGCTCTCCGTAGCCAGCTTCCAACAATGGAACAAGACGGTGGATCTCAAAATCCTGTGTCATCTCCTGGAATGTCTCAGGAACTGAGAACAATGACTACAAATAGTTCTGATCCCTTTCTTAACAGGTTTGTAGGAGTAGCTGCTAGAGGGAAAAAAAATTGATTTAAAATTCTGTTTAGTACATGTAATAGTTTATTTTGAACATCTGTCTGTGCCAAAAGCCACAGCTGTAAATGAATCTTTCCTTAAATGGCAAGTCTAGTAAAAGTTGAGGATTAAAAGCTGTCTCCTGTGGGAGGAAGTAGTCTGTTCAGACTTGTAGGAAGGTTTTTTATTCAAAGTCATAACATGTTTGCCTCTGCATAATCTGTTGACTAACAGTCATTTCAAATTACTGACTCAGAAGAATTTGTGAATAGCTTGCTATGAGATCAAATGAACTGTGAGGCACATTTAGGACTACACCTTGAGGTTCATTTTAAGGTTTCTTCATTCACCCCTTCCCTTCACTTCAGGTATTTAATTTAGCAGTATTTTTACTCTGTTAATGTTAGGTCTGCAAATAGTGGCATGTTTCATTTTAAATGCTGTATTATTTTGTAGTGGGTCTTTTAATTCAAGATTTAGAATTTAACAGTATAGACTAGTCTTTTTCATACAACTTTTTCCTTAATCCCTCTGAATTGGAGTGGTTTGGTGGTGGTTGTTTTTTTTCCAATTTGCGAATGCTTCGTACTGACCATTACAACTTAGGAGAGACTGTTGCAGCATGAGAGAACTCATATCTGTATTATTTGCTTAGCATGCTGTAAAGAAAAGACAAAAATGGTAAAACAGTCAAATCTCCAAGCCACATAAACTTTTAATTGATGGAGTAAAAATCTGCTAACATTGCAGCAGTATCAAGTAGTTGATCTTAAGTTGGAGTAGTTAATTTTTAGTTCCTTATTGGACTATATTTTGTCAGCATTCTAAGCTGATACTGACTAAGTATCCTGTACCATGAAAGAGAAAAATTATGTACTCTGTCAGAGTTAATCACTACTTTTGTGCATTACCTTGAAATGTTAACCTAACTTTAGGATGCTTACTTTAAGTGCCCATGTAGTATAACAATATGCTCGTACTTCTCTTTAATGGTACATTATTATACTTAAGGAAAATCTCATTAAATTCATCTTGATTCTTTCAATGTAAGCCTTATCTTCCATGGTTTTTGCCATCAATAGTGTTTCAAATGCACTCGTAAGGTAAGAAGTCACATCACAATAGAACTGATATAATTTTGGAGTAGGGCAAGCTTACATACCTGCCATAATTTTAGATACTGAAAACTATTTAAATCTTTTTAAACTTTTGCTGCAATTATAAATCCAAATCCCTTCCCATATTCTTTTAAATAACTTAACATTGCTGATCTCACACTTAGGGTCTTCATCCCTAAAGATGTAGTCACTGTATGTAATTTTTCCAGTTATTGATATTCCATCAGCTTAGTTTAAGTTTATCTCATTTTCTGCCTTTCTCAGAAGGCTTTTCCTTTATTTCATGTACTCTATCTTCGCTGTAATGCTCAAAATTAGTAAAGTTCAGTGGAGATGGTGGAAGAACATATCCTCCATCTTGCCAGTGAAATCTGTTGTCATTTATATAGTTTAGGTTATGTAAATAACATCTGTTGTGAAGGATTGTCTGTGTTACTGTTGTGTGTGCTGCTGTGAGAGTGGGGGAAGAGGTTCTGTCTCAAGGTACACAATGATTTGTACATATTGGAGAAGACTGATTTTAAAAAAAAAAAAAAAAGGGTCTTGCACATGGAGAAGAATAGTGGTGACAGTGGTGTGTTATTAAACTCCCTAAGAAAGTAAGGGGTATTTCCAGGTTTTTGGTTAAGCCCTTCAGGAAGGCTTTTCTCCTACACAGACAAATCTGATTAGAAAACTTCATTATTTGTTTTAGAGGGAGGGATTGTCCTCCATGGAATTCATCCTAGGATCTGGTGTGAGCCTTAACTGTGCTGGCCCTGTCCTAAGGAATAAAAATGGACAAGAAATCTTAAAACTGACCTGCTCTCCTATGAGAAGCCTCTGTAAATAGATGATGGCCCTGATGTGTTATAGTAACATACTTGCTTGAATTTTCTCGAAGGCTGTTACTGTCATACATTGAGCCCAGGTATATTTTGAAATTTGTTATTAAATAATGTAGAATCCTCACATCTTCAAAACCTTTTTTCTGACCTGAAAGAAACACGTGTTCAGGTTTCAAATGGCCATGGCAGTGGACTAATGCAGTTTAGCCATTGTGAGTCTACAAAACTGACATATAAAATAGAATCGTACAATGGTTAGAGTTGGAAGGGACCTTAAAGATCATCGAGTTCCAACCCCCCTGCCCTGGGCAGAGACACCTCCCACTAGAGCAGGTTGCTCAAAGCCCCATCCAGCCTGGCCTTGAACACTTCCAGGGATGGGGCATCCACAGCTTCTCTGGCCAACCTGTTCCAGTGTCTCACCACCCTCACAGTAAAGAATTTCTTCCTGATATCTCATCTAAATCTCCCCTCTTCCAATTTAAAACCATTACCCCTTGTCCTGTCACTACACTTCCTGACAAAGAGTCCCTCTCCGGCTCTCCTGTAGGCTCCCTTCAGATATTGACTAATGGATATTTACCTTTAATTAGAAACAGGAAAATAGCTAGAGAGGACAAATTCATGTTGTGTGTAATTTTTTGGCAGGTTGATAATTAGCAAGGACTATTTGCTGTGAAGTGCATAAAGGTACTACCTGCCCAGTTGCAAATATGTTTAGCTGGGCTTTTTTTTGTCACCCTTACTTGACGCAAAATGCTGAAAATCTCTATCTGACCTGAGCTTAGAATATCTTAATTTGCATTTTGGTCTGAACATTGTCCCTTTCTAGGTAATTTTATATATATCACCACACTTAATTGTATCATATGGGAAAGGGATTTTTAAAATTTGGACATGCATTGCTATCTCTGAATTAGGCACAAGAGTTTTGCCCTAAAGATCTCCTTGATGTCCCCTGTTTTAAATTTCAGACTTGAAGAAATGCTTCTTTCTGTCTTTATGGGGTATATATAAGTTCCTGGTGAGACAGTCCTCCTAATTTTAGGTACCAAAGTTGGATATCCAAAGTTGAGGTAGTTGAATAGTTTCCACTGCCTACATAACAAAAACATCCAAAAAACTTTAGGAACTAGTTGCTACATTGGAGCAATTTGAGAAAATGCATGGTCGTGTTTCCATTGATGTAGTCAATCTTCTGCCTGCTGTCTTCAATTCTTACTGTCTTTGGGGTAGGTTTTATTTTTTGAATGGGACATCCAGCAAGGCAGACTTTATTAGACTATTTCACCTTTTGGTTTGCCACTCTGTTTATATATTTTTGTCTATTGGATTTATATTGGTAGTGACAGTAATTCTCGGTTTAACTGCTAAATTGGGATTTCTTCTTTCGTATACACATATTTTAACAAGTAATACTTGAAGAAGCATCCATTCTATTTCGGGCAATGCAATTTAGTTGCATGTGGTAATTCTGGGTGGTGTGACTACTAAATGAAGAAATCCTTGTTGAAGAAAGAGGAAATGTGTATTAAAGAGTGATTTGAAGAGAAGGGCTGGATATTCCAAGTAGGAGAGCAGCAGCCAAAAAGCCTTCTCAACTGGAGTGATTTAGTTCAGCATAGTCTCAGTTCTGTTTTTAGTATTTTATGCCACAAAGTAAACTAGCACATTCTTCCACGGCGGTTTTAAATAGCTTAATAATTAAGATTGTTATCAAATACTTGGTGATACTATTTTTAAATCAATCTAAAAAAAAAAGAAAGAAAAATGTTTATAACTTATAAAGAAATATTAGGTTTGTTTCTTATATGGCAGAGATGTCTTTGTGAAATTAATATATATTTATGGCTGATGGCATTCTACTTGCATCTAACATTGAATAGTTGTTCAATCATCCTCTGTTTGGTGGTTCACACTTGACAAAAAGGCATACGCTCTATATTTCATGAGCACATTATGAGAAGGATCAGTATGTCTTCAAATGCTCTTTATTATTCAAGCTGGAAAATCAGTAAGGGTTCTCAGTGAATACTACACAACCCGAAGATTTTTGAAAATACTTTGTGAAGGTTGGATATTAGGGGGATGGAGGTACCCATGCATTTCTACAGCTGCTTATGCGGGCCACAGCTCCTGCCAGAAAACCTGCTCCTGCTTATGCCTCCTCTCCATGGGTCTCAGTTCACTCCAGGAACCTGCTCCAGCCTAGGCTCTCCATGGATTAGAGTTTCCTTCAGGACACATCCAGCTGCTGCAGCGTGGGGTCCTCCATAGGCTGCAGGGTGGATATCTGTTCCATGGTCCTCCATGGGCTGCAGGGTGGATATCTGTTCCACCATGGTCCTCCATGGGCTGCAGGGAGACAACCTGTGTCACTGTGATCTTCTCCATGGGCTGCAGGGGAATCTCTGCTTTGGTACCTGGAGCACCTTCTCTTCCTTCTTCACTGATCTTGGTGTCTGCAGGGCTGTTTCTCTCACATTTTCTCACTGCTCTCCTGGCTGCCACAGGGTGGGTTTTTTACCCTTTCCTAAATAGAGATACCACCACTGTCACCGATGGGCTCAGCTTTGGGTGGCAGCAGGACCCTTTTGGGACCATCTGTGTCTGACACGGGGTCAGCTCCTGGCGTCCTCTCACAGACACCATCCCTGCCAGCCCCCTTGCTACCAAAACCTTGTGCTGTAAGCTCAATACAGTGGCCTGCCTCCCCCCTGCCCCATCCCAAATTTCCCACCGCAGCTTTCTTGGTCTCACTGACTCCATTGGCAGTGAGATGGCCATACAAAAACAAATGCATGTAAGGCCCTGTGCCCTCACTGTTTTGTTAACTGTTCTGTCAACAGGATTGTTCTGAACAGGGTTTGTTTACAGGACGGTTTCTGTACCAGGACTTGATTTATATGAGGGCACTCTCTTGCCATGACGGGACTGGGCTAGTAGTAATGCAACAGTGGGGAACCACTGAGGAATCACTAAAGGAGTTCCAGCTCCTGTCCATAACAGCAGTGACTTAAAAATACACTTCAGTAGTTGATTACACATGGGAAGTTAGTAATTAGAAAAAATTTTTTTATCCTTGTGGAAGTGTGAAAGGGTACACCGTTACCATTTTATTTCTTCTAAAAACATTAGGGGCTATCTGTGAGATGCCTCCAATGGGTTTTAGCTATGGGTGGATGTGAAAAGTTTAAAACCATGCAGAACACAGGTAGGCGGTTTTTTAAAGCTGCTTAAGTATGCTCTCATCAAGGTAAATTGAATCTAAATAATTGGAAGAGGTCTGCATAAAATAAACCCAGGTGTCTCACACAGACAAAGGCTTCAGTTTTTCATTAGAATAGAGCATTTCTCATTACAGCAGTGATTTCAAAGCCATGGAATTGGGTCAAAAACAAGCATTTATTTTAATTTCTTCAGTACCTACCCTCATTTTTTGCTCCCTTTCTTCTGTTACAGTGGCACATATCACTCCAGAGATGAAAGCACAGACAGCGGACTCAGCATGAGCAGTTACAGTGTCCCCAGAACCCCCGATGACTTCCTGAACAGTGTTGATGAGATGGATACAGGTCTGGTTTTGTGTACATCCTTAGTGCATGTTTTTCATATATACTTGTGTCCATTTGCAATGAAAACAAGTAACACTGAGAAGCTGTGATACTTTTTGCTTTAGTTTTCTACCTTATTCTATTTCTGTAATAGAACCATTATAGTTAGATTTATGAAAAACATACTTGTAATCAGCTCTATTGGGAGAATGGGGGATTGCTAATAAATCACAGTATCATTCCTATTGTTATATATATATATATATGTTATATATATTGGAATTTGAGTGACCATTTGCTTTTTTAAGTAATATAGTTTATTAAAAGCTAAGAACAGTACCTCATCCACTGTTGCTAATACTGCTCCAAAACAATATTTGACTCAGTATTGTCTCTTATCTTTAAACACAAAAATGGAAACAGGCTAAATGACGTCAAAGTCTGTAGAGATTTGGGTCAGTAGGTGAAAAGGTTGAAACAAAGGCATGTTCTTTGTACATCTGCATGCAGTCAAGTCATCTTTGAGTTTTGTGATGAATTTCTATGAATCATAATGCTTGTATGATGCAAGAGATAAAGGATTAGCCTTTAACCAGTTGTCCTGATAAAATGTGGGTTTGGTATAATTCCTGTATATTTAAAATCCATCCTTCTTTGTGTTTTAACTAGGTGACAGTATCAGCCAAAGCAACATACCGTCCCATCAGAACCGTTTCCCAGACTACCTTGAAGCCATTCCAGGGACAAATGTGGACCTTGGGACACTGGAAGGAGATGGGATGAATATAGAAGGAGAAGAACTGATGCCAAGTCTGCAAGAGGCTTTGAGCTCTGACATCCTTAATGACATGGAATCTGTCTTGGCAGCCACCAAGCTAGATAAAGAGAGTTTTCTTACTTGGTTATAGGGGCCTCAGGGAGACTGAATTCTAAATCTGTGAAGGATCTAAGGAGAATAGGACATCTGTATCTGAAGTTCAGAACAAGCCAGTGTGGCACACTTTGGCTTGTGTTCAGAAAAAGTAAATGAACAAATATTCAACAAGATTCTTTCGTTTTGCTCTTCCTTGTCCATCGCTGCTGTTATATATTGCTGACTTTTTTCCACAGTTGACTCTGAAGAACAGACATCTTCTTGATCTTTTTCTATTGCTGTTGCAACTACTGTTCAAGGGGGGTGGGGAGGGATGATGAGCCTATTTGGATGATGAATGCCATTCCTTTTGTCCTAGTGTGCGCTTGCATATCATTTTATCTAAGTACTCAGATTTGAGAGTTAATTTCTGCATGTCACTGCTTGTAGTTTGCTCAGCTAGTTGTCTCCTGCTGCCCGTGGCAAGTGGTAAAACATGACATACTGGGGTGACAAGCCAAAAATGATGTATCTGGTCAAAAGAAGTCAATACTGATTTGGAGATACGACTTAAAGGAGGGCTGAAGACTGTTTGGCATTAAGTGTTTCTACTAGTAGCTCTTTTCATTAGTCACAAAGTGCTCTTGTTCATATTTTATGTTATTAGTAAATCATGAGTCATTTTACATAGAAACATATATGAACTTTGATTGTTGCCACATATTCTAGCCTAACTTTTGTTTGTCAAAAATAGTTTGATTATTTTTGTTAGTTGGTTTAACTGTAGTTGTAGGATGGGAAGTAATTATAGGTGTTCTTTTTTTTTTTAAATAGTGAAATCTAAGGGTTTTTTCTGATTTCACATAGTCTTATTTAAATCTGAATTGTCTGCTTTTTTTTTATACTTAAAACATGCCTATTGTAGCCTGATAAGCTAGTGAGTACATAAACCAGTATGTTTTGCCTGTAACTTTTTTATTTTTTTAAAAGGCTAGCTTTGAATGTAATCATTAGAATTCATGACCAGTGGCTTATTTTTCATGTTTATTTGCAAGATTTTCAATTAGAATCTGATTTCAGCAATCCTCAGTGTCGTATGTACAATTTTTAAATGCATTTTAAGGTAGCAGAAACCATTTTAAAATCTCAGATGTATCTAATCTCTCTTCTGGTTTTCAGTTTTCATATCTAAGCGAGTTTAGATTTTTAAATCCTTAATGGGAAAAAACTACGAAAAGTTTCTCCTAAGTTAGCACGGAAAAAGTCTGAACTATTAATATCACTCATAAGTTGCAATGAAAAGGCTAGAACACCAAAAAAAATCCTCAAGAAAAACTCCTAAGTGTAGTAGTTATCAGATTCTGTTTGGTGAAAAATAAGCCCTGGACACTATATGTAGAAGAATGTAAAGATATGTGTTAGATGGTGACATGAGCAGGTAATGAAGTGTATATTAGTAGTAGAGCTTAGCATGGGGTAGAGGTGAGTATGAATTATCTTTATTTTAACAGGAAAAGATGTATCACTAAGTTGTCTGCAGGAGTTGACACAGTTTCCAAAGAGTATTTTTAAATGAACAAAATGAGCATGAATCAAACTTTCAGTATAAGCTATGAAGTTTTGTGGGGCTTTTTTTTTTTTTCTGATAAAAAAAATAGTGTCACCCGTTAACACCTCTATAATTAAGGGCCTGTCACCATTCTCAACATGAGCCTTTATTTTCAAGGGTGTATAAACATGATTATAAAGATACTGTAAGTGTGAAACAGTTTTGAAAAAAATCTCAGCTAGCAGGGACTTCTCCTGAGGAGAGATTTTTGGGGGGTTTTTGTTTTGCATTTTTTTAAAGACATTGATTATTTTTCAACTTAGGAACGAATCAGCAAAACAAACCCCCATATTATTATTATTATCATCTGGATTCTTTTATGCTTCAGAAATACTTCTGGTTTAGGATAATGTAATGAATTAAAATTCTGAACCAAGTCTCGTTTTAAAAACTGAAGCAGCAGAGACAGAGATTTGAAATTTGCCACTATAAATGTACATTTACTACTTTACATAAGATAATAGTGTTTGAAATACACAAAATTTGTTTGTGGCTTGTTATGGAATACAGGCAGGTTTTAAAATACCAATTTTCAAAACACATCCATAATGATAAATATATTCTGCTACACCAATAATTCAGCGATTAATAGGCCACTTATATTGTGCAATGACACAGTAGCTCCTAAAGCAGTATATTGTGTCCAAGTTAGGGATTTTAGTAGCATTTTTACAGTTTCATTATGAATTCTTCTCTCTTCTTCCCTTCAGGAAAAAAAAAGACACTAAGCTGTTATAACTTGAATGGTCTGACATAAATCCACAACAGCAAGGAAATGCAGAGTTTATTCCATTTCAGTTGTCTTCCACAGTTGTATCCAGGTGTAGCAGCACACACGATGCACTGAGTGCAAGCTCCTGACAGGCTGTACCTCGCTACAACAGGGATGAGTACAGAACAAATTTTCTTTCCTTGCTTTTGTGTGTTTGTCACAGCTTTAATATTTGAATGTTTTCTTCTCATTGTAGAAACACTAAATGGCTTATACTGTATTTGGGTAGCACTGCTTAGGGTAGATACTGACAAACTGGGAATCCTTGAACTGCTCTAACATTAATTCTGTTTTGTGATACTTATTTTAATTGATTTTAATACATTTCCGTTCTCTCATTTATTAGGAAACATACCATAGAGATGCTGTACTGTTGGCAATCAACATTAATTTGGATTTTTTTTTTTTTTTTAATTCTACAAATGCATTGTTTGATGAAGTGGTTAAAAATGTTTGAAATGCAAAAGTGTTTTGCGTAGTATTTTATACTGATGTATATATTGAAACAGAAATCATTGTAATAATTGTAATAGCGTTTAGTTATAAATACACTACATGCAGACAGATGGGGCTGTACAGTAAGTACTGTGCTGTTCAACACCTGGGCTGGGCGACTGCTTGGAAACAGGTTGCAGTGTCAGTAAAAACCACACGGATCAAACATTGTACCATTCAGTGTTGGCGCTCACCAATGCAAAAGGAGAAGAGACGATTTCAATGTGATTAACACTACATAGCTCTCACACAGCTGGTAAATTAGTACTAAAGTGACCTTTTCACTTACAAGCATGTTTGTTGGTTTTTTTTTTTTTTTTTATACAAATTAACAGGTGTGCCTGTGTAAAATAATTTGTTTTCTGTATCTTGGAAAAAATACTCTCCACATTTAGAATATGTTGTATGTTAGAGAACTCTTAAATGCACCCTTGTCAAAAATTATATATATTAGTTACCAATGTTACTTTTAGATATGAGCATGACTGTAAGTTAGGTACTTAAGTACGTTCTGTTACATTATTTTTCTTTATGTAATACTTTTTCAGTTGTTTTATTTGGTATAAATATATACTTTGTGCTTAAACATGTTTGTTTGTTTTTAACATTCGGTAGTATGTAAAGATACTGATTTCCTTCAGTAAGAGGGATGCATTGAATTGTTGGAATTCCTGTTGTGGTATGTCTGTTCTCGTCCCCCTTGTCACAGCTTTTGTAGCCATAAACTCCAGTCCTGCACACGTTGTGTACGAGCTCACCTAAGGGACAAAGGAGACCCACTGAAGTCAGAAAAGGGTTAACATTAATGTACACATCTCTGTGTTTGCAGTAAGTGCAGAGACAGTGACTCTACTAAGCCTTGTGTAAATCAAGACATTAATTAATACGGCGCTGCAGTGAGAGCCGGTAGCAGAATGTCCTTTTTCTGCTATAAGAAAGCATCCTCTTTTTGCAGATGTGCTTGCAATGTTCAGGATCTTCCCACGTAGAAGATACACTTTTGGCTAACTCTAAGTTTATACGACAATTTGTGTTAGACTATCAATAAAGACACGCTATTTTCATTTCCAAGTTTTGAGTTATGAATTGTGAAATACGTAATGACGTACCTTGAAAGTGCCTGAAGATTTTAGTTTTAAAAAACTTGACAGGATTCATTAACTTTGACCTTCTGTAAAACAGAAATTGGAAGGTGTGTTTTTAATGTAGTGCAGGTCGCAATGGCTGAAGTCGTAGGCTGTTTGCTTGTTTAGCAGTGGGAGAGTTACGACTGTTCAGCGCTGAAACGCCTCAACCCCGTGAAATGCAGGGCTGCTGGGGGGCTCCTTGGTTAAAGGTCCAGGGCTCAATGCTTCTGTATCAGTGTCTTTTACTTGTGATTTCACAGCTTTACTCACTGAGATCCTTTACATTTAAACCAAATGGGAGTAGAAAGCCAGTGCCAGGGCATGACACGGCACCGATTTTACTTGCTGGTATCACTCCTTCCCATTTGTAAGGTGGTGATACGATGCAGTAGTTGGAAGTATGAGTGACCTTCCGAGACAGCCCTAAATAGACTGTGCTACAGCAAAGCAGGAGATCTGCTCCAGGTGTTCCAGGCTCACTTGGCAATTCTTTTGAAATGTTTTCAAAGCTTAGTTCAAAGTATCGGTTTCGGTAAGCCAGAAATAGTATGCTTCCAAGGAAGCTCTGAGTCTTCCCTCTGTTAATGTGCAAGTTACCAGCAAAAAAAAAAAAAAAAAAAAAAAAAGGCATTTTTCACCTACGATAATAACAAAATAATTATTTGAGATGAGGCTATGCTCTGTCTAGCACTTCCCATCCTGGAGGTTCGCTTGGTGATAAAGTGGGGCCATTGATTTTATTTACAGCGTCAGCTCCCATAGTTTATATGTTCCTGTTGAAGAGTAAATGTGTTTTTCGCCCCTTGTCGTCACCACTGATTATTGCTGACAATAGTTATCCGCACCCTCTAAATTTAGATGTCATCAAAGAGGAAGACATCTGTACAGCGTGACAAATCTTGGCTGACCTGAAATGGTAAAACCAACACAAACTGAAGAACTGTCTTTAGAATATAGGGTAGAGCTTTGTACCAACTACCCTGTCCAGTACTTAGTGTCTCTTAAACAAAAAAGCCAGTATGTTTGTCTTTAAAGAAGGAAAAAAAAAAGAGGAAACATGTTGAATAAGAAATGTATAAATGCCAGTACCTCTCACAAAGCTGCCTTATGGGGTGGTTTTGTTTTGTTTTGTTTTGAAAATGCATGATTTTTACTTTTCCTGACATACTCCTCTCTTTAATGCAGAGGTTGTTACACTGAATGCTACAAATGTAGGCAGGTATTCAGTGGTGTAATTTTCTCTATATGGGAATTAAGTTGGTCATTGTTTATAGTATTTTCTATATTAAACTGGCTCGTATTTGAACATGAGAGGCAATGTACTTTTATTGGGTTTTCCTGTCTCTTTATTAGCAAGTGATTTAAAAAAAATAAATAAATAAAAAGGGGGAGGGGGAAAGTCAGGAGCAGCCTAGGAGGTTTTTTCTTCAATGTTATGCAGCAGCAAAATAGAGCTCCATAAAAATGGCATGTTATATCTCACCTGAAATGACCTTTCTCCCTTTCCCATATATGGTCTTTCTGAGCTAGTCTAGTGTGTTTTAAATTATTTATTGTATTTACCACCTGTGATCTTTGCTCGCCTGGCACCTAAAGACAGGGACTGTAGCTCCTGATGCTGTTAGGTCCTCAGAGGAGTGCTGAGTTCCTCCTCCCCAGAGCCCAGCTCTCATCCTGCGTGAAGTCTGTAGGGTAATGCAGAAACCACAGCCTGATTCCAAACAAGCTACACAACTACTGTGGCAGGATGGTTTTTTGAACGATGGTGGATTCCTATTCTGGTGTGACTTCCTGGAGACTGGGGAAGTTCACCTTTCCTATTCCATTACTTTGATTTCTGCAGGCAGTTGTCATAGCAGAGGCACAGAGTCCTCCCCACACCGGTACCACTGTGCCTGCTGGAGGACTCCTGGCCAGCTCTTCAACCCAGTGTGGACAGTGATTTATTTTTTTTTTAAAGCTTTCACTGTCCTGCAAATACAATTGTCTCAGCTCTCTTGACTGATAAATGATGCTTTTCAGACTTCACCAAGCGATAGAATCCGTTCATACCCATCATCTGCTGTTGAAGAGTGACCTGGAGGCCTCTGATAGGTCCAGCTGTAATTCTGGACTTTCAAAGTCTACTGTTAAAACAAGGTACTAGTTGTGCAGGTGTATGACAAAATTCCAGACCTACACTTCTAAGAAATTCCATGATTTAGGTGGTGACATCTCACAGCAAATGGCAGTAACTTAGATGCCTTCTGGTTGGACAAGTGGCCCTCAGCCTGTGGTCTGCAGGCTGCAGAGGGCTGTGGATGTCCATTTAGACCAAGAAATTGCCAGCCAAAGCAAAGCCGGTGTGGCAGCCCCACGCTGTCTGTGCAGGAGAGATTCAGGCTGCTGCCCAAAAAAGTTCCAGTGCCTGCAAAAGGTGACAACTGCTGGACTTGTTAAAGCTCTGCTGCAGCCTGTATCTACCACCACCTTCTTCCCTGCCCACAGATGATTCTAATGACTGCTTTACAGTCATAGCTTTTAGGTTTATATACACCAGTATGTAAAACTGTGTAATGTCCTTCATGTCATAATTTTGGTCTTTTGCTTAAGACATTACTCTCCTTTCAAAGGTCTTTGCTCCTGTAAACAGCCTTTCAAGATCTTTCTCAAATGCAAGATTAAAATAGCCATGTGAGCAGGCACTAATGTGGAAAAGCAGAGCTTACAGGGAGAAAAACCCCAGAGTCTTCCCTAAAAGCATGTTTATTGTTAGACACTGAAATGTGTACCTGGTTCCAGTTCAAAATAGCAAGAGAGATGAAGACCATTCCTCTGAGCATTCTCTGCATTCTTACTGAAGTAGCAAGGAGTTTGATCCACAGGCATTTAACTCGGTCCTTTGAGGCACTTGAATTATATTTGGTAACCTTTATTATGGGTATAGATTCCTCCAAGAATTGTCTGAGTGTGATACGTACCAACAGGTCACCGAGAAATTTCTCTTTGGAGCTTCATGGCAAGAACGCTAGAAAAGCTGTCAGCCAAACAGTTGTGTTGGTGCCTGAGTTGTGCTCCGTGCTCCCAAGCCAGCCCTGGCTTGGGAAATAGCTGGTTTTACGTGGAAATCCACAATTGTGGTAAGGCTCAGGTTCCTTACAACTGTGATCTCTGCCAGTGAAGCTTACTGTTGTGATTTTGCTTTGTGATCACCCTGAAATTAAAGTGGCGAAGTCTGGTGAGATCCATGAAAACAGGAGGGAAGATCTGTGCTGCTGCAGAGGCCAGAGTTTCTCAGCTGCTTTTAGAACTGTCTCACTTCTAATGAAGTGAAGACATCTGGTGGAGTTGTCTCTGTGTGGTGACTGGTTTCACGTTTGCTTGCATTTCATTTTTAACGTCACTAACTTCTAGCATATGGTCCTGTTATTGAAGTGAGTGCATTGGTGACAACTGAAAAAAACAAACAAAAGAGGGTTTTGTGTTATTTTTTTTTTTTTTAAGTGCACTTGAGCTAGGTATGCGTTGCCCTGGATAAAGAGGACTCCCACCTTGCAGTAGCCCATCTGACTGCCAGGCTTTTAAGTGAGGCATCTCACCTGCCATTTCCCAGGAAAGCTGTGGGGCAAGGTTTTACTTGCCTAGGGAGCATTGAGATGTTAATGTTTGTAAAATGCTTTGAGGGTAAAGCCATATTTAAGAGCTTCCTGTTCATTTATTCTCTGAGCGGTGCCATCAAGAAGTGCAATTTTTGCAATGTTAATACAAGGTATGTATCTGATTCTACCAGCTTAAACCCACGAATTACAGAAAGGAGTTCTGTTGGTGCATATCAAATGATAGTTTTCGCTGGCGTGTGGACACCCAGCAGGAAGGGTGAGATGATTCAAGTTAGCCCTCCTCTGCAGCTCACCAAAGTTAACTTGAATTACCTCCTCTTTGCTGGAAGACAAGAGCGCACAAACATTTACTGCTGGCAGATTAATGTGCGCCTGTTCTTCCTTCTCTGGAAACTTTTCTGCCTGAGGCCTTGGAGTTTTAGCTATTTTTCAGATTTATCTTTCCTGTTGAGCTTTATCCAGTCTCCTTTCTGGGAAGCCAAAGTACTCTTTTAGGTGTAAAAGTACATTGATTAATTATGAACATGAAGGGGGGAAAAACCTTGCATCATTGTGCGTATATACACATAGAGTAATGCTGCATGCATTTGTGTATCTATCTATATATAGACACACTATATATAAACATGAATTTCCTGCCTAAAGACAACTCAGGTTCTCATGAGCATTATGATATTTGATCTAGGCTCGTAAGGAAAAAACCCAATATGAGTGCCATACCAGTTGTTGCTTCTTTTTAAATTTTCAGGTTTTTAGGTGTGACGTAGGAGCATTTCAATCACAAACCCAAGATGAATGATGAGAGAGAACATGAATGCACATGTTACTCAGCTATGCTGCCTCCCAAGAAAACAGCCTCAAGTAGTTACAGCACCCATATGCTCCGTAGTTCAGCTTTTTGGGACTTAAAGACACCTCAAACAAAAAAACCCACCAAAACAAACAAAACAAACCCCAAACCCAAAGGGGTGGGGTAAGGAGATGAGTTGCCCACCACCCTCCTCCTCTGTGAATGCATCTGTCACTTTCAGCCTGGGACAGAAGGGCAGTTGGCTTCAGATAAACTTCATCTTAGACAAATCTTATCTTCAAGTTTAATACATAATCTGTGCTATGCATCTTGGCAGATGCACATTCTGTAACTGCATGGTCATATTCGTGCATACACTAATGCAGAGGTGTGTATGTGTGGCTGAGGAGATGGAGAACTGGAATGTTATGGAGCAAAATGCTTACTCATGGCAGGGATTAAACCCCTAATGGGTGCCTAACATAACTGAGTGCCATGTTCCACTGATACATAGCACATACTGTGCTGCTTGCTGGAGATATTCTTTTAAAATTG